CAATTCTCGAGTTTAGCATTGTCATGATGTTCTTTTCGTATGGCACTTCGTTTGCAAGATCTCTAAACCCGCATTGCATGATCACTATATTCGATAGGTACGACTGATCCCGTCGAGGCTCTCGCTACGGTCAGAAAGCGCAAGTCAGCCTGGAGAGGTTGAATATATGGACGTTTATTAGGCAAATAAACAGCTACTTACGCAATCAACAAACTCTCATTATGCAAACACTGTTTCAGCCGGTGCGTCGGATTCGATGCGACGTTCGGGTACAATTTAGAATAAGTGCCAGTCAGAAACAGTCTGAGCCCGCAATGGGTATATATCTATTATTCTGTTTTATTTTGTTGTGGCATGGGTGTGCCACATCTTTGTAGCTACCTGAGATAACGAACAAGGCTGTGGTAGTTCGGGTAGTGTAGTAATCAGCCCACGTTTATGACTCGCTGCGCTGTAAATTGTGATAGTGATCCTAAGCGCGATACTTGGATTGTTACTCATTGTGTCTATGCTCAATGTAAATTGCGTTGACCAGGACTGTCGGGTCGCACTATTGTCGTAGAGTCGTACGCCAATACGTGTGGCAGTGTATGCTTCACATCTATCCATACATCACCGAGGTTAATTCTCGCTAATCAGTGCTTATTTATCTGCTACTTCATGTTGACACACGTGTTTTTATCGCTTTCCCGGGACAATGCAGCCCGCAGCCAGAGTCAAGTATGATATATTTTAAATACCGAGACGCGTAAACTGGTTGGTCGCAAAAAACTCCTCCAACATTCTCGCCGCCTCGAGTTAATTTATAGAGATTCATTCAGGGTAAGATAGCTCATGCTGTCGAAGAGTATCAAGTTCGTGACCCTGGTACATTACTCGCACCCGACGTTTGAACAGCAATTATAAGCCATCGTCCCTGAGGTCTTCGCTCGCGACGACTCATGTGTTGCCCTTTCCATATATCGCATGGCTCGTTTTATATGTAGACAGCGCATGTTTGTCTGACACCCCCGAACCGCGTATACCAAATGCAATATTACGACTTCATCTTCACAATGCACTGGGCTATAAGTTGCCAATGAGCGCTCGGCACCATAAACGCTGCGACCTGCCTGTGAGCACCACAACTGTCACAACTACAGACAGCAGACCGGTGACGAGTGAGAGATACATATTCTTCCTCTATTGGAAATCATATGCGTGATGGTCGAAGTTAATCAGGCCAAGGAGTGCCTCCTGAGTGCTAGAGCGTCATGATTCTGCCTTCAAAATGAGATGAACTAACTTGACACCAGCGTTCCTTGTGCACATGGACACGATATAGCGCAGTCAACCTATTATAAAACAATCTACGTCCAAGGGTGGCATAGTTCTAGCACTTCAAAACACCACACAGCACTTTTAATATATATTTTACCACTTAGCGGGCGAAATATCATACTGGCTGTATAAATATCATATTGGCTGTATAAATATCATACTGGCTGTATAAAAATCATACTGGCTGTATAAATATTATACTGGCTGTATAAATATCATACTGGCTGTATAAATATTATACTGGCTGTATGTACATCATACTGGCTGTATAAATATCACATTGGCTGTATAAATATCATACTGGCTGTTAAAATATTATACTGGCTGTATAAATATCATACTGGCTGTATAAATATCATACTGGCTGTATAAATATCATACTGGCTGTATAATTTTATAGTGGTTGTATAAATATTATACTGACTGTATAAATATCATACTGGCTGAATGCCTCTGAGAACCACAATTACTGTCCACCAGAGGTACAAGTGCTGCAGTCTACTTTATTACTGCTTTAATATTCACTACACTACGTTTGCGCTCTGAGTACTAAATCCACACTCCCAACCTGCCCACAACGCACCCGCGTCAGCACACGGACGACAGTTTCTTGTCTTCGTGCTCGCCACCGACCCGCGTGGCAGTCCCTGGCGCAGTGCCATTGTCTGCGTTTGCCACCGCTTCCGTAACTGTTCCCGGTCCCTCTTTCGCATCACCACCCGTAGCCACCTCTGTCTTGGCCTGAACATCGGCATTGACCTTCGCCTCCATATCGGAGTCGATTTTCGACGCCGTGTCTGTGCTGTGGTGGGCTTTGTTCTTCAGCGTTTTTATGCACACTCCACATTGTTTGAGCTCGCCCGACTTCTGCGACGGCATGTTGCGACGGCACACGGTGCACAGCTTATGCAGACGAGACTCCTGCAAAGACACACAGGCAATGGATACAACCATCAGTACAGATGCAAGCACGTAACATGCTGTGTATATCTTGTGCAGACGAGACTCCTGCACAGACACACACGCAGTGGATACAACCATCAGTACAAACGCAAGCACGTAACATGTTGTGTATATACAATGCAAGTCTAATCAGATGCGAAAAACGAGGCATTACAAAATGCACAAGGCCTGACCTGGGCCACTCAGAACACCATCGAATTAAGTACAACGGGAAGGCATTGCTTGTGACTGACGCGAGAGCTACTGACATCGGTGCAGACATCGGTGCACGATATATGACTCATCGCGCAAACAAGACCAGCGAACGGCACTTACACGGAATCACTGTGGCCAGCCCATACGACCCACCACACCAACCCACCAGCTATTGAGAATGGCTTCAAAGGTGTATACATCTGACAAGAGAATCGAGGCCTTGGCCACAACCTCCCACTTTCACACACATACGCACAGCTATTACACGTATGCGCATATCCTTACAGTATGCATTGAGAACTCGACCCAGTGATATATTACTACAAGCGAGCCGGAGATACATTCCCCAGCTGCGGTAGTACATATATGAATTTGCACACCATACGGACAACCTTCACCCCACCGAATAATCCCAACAGCTTGAGTTAAAAAAAGCCTGACGCACGACGCGGCTCAAACGACTACTGTAGGTACACAGGTGGCCACCCTTTACTATACAGGCTGCCTTGGCTATACAATCCCATTCTCCAGTCCGCAAACACTGACCGCACAACTCAAATCCCACACATTAGGGCAGCGCACATACCCGTCCTTCAGCCTTCCTCCGTTTCCTCTCGGCCCTGGCAGCAAGCACCGCTTCTCTGTCCACCGCCACACCCCCAGGACCATCCTGAATGAATGAATGAATGAATGAATATGCCCAAACCAACAGTCAGGCCAGAATGTTTGGTATAGCTTTAAGCAAAGGGCGGGTCACCTGTACAATCATGGACAACCATCGCAGAACTGTGGGGCACGAGTGTGTGTCAACGCAGCCGCAACGGGATCCACCAGAACTAACTGCACAGTGCACATCGCAGACTTAGTACAACTACAGTATACATCGAAGACTTAGTACAACTAAAGTATACATTGGAGACTTAGTACAACTACAGTATAGATCGGAGACTTAGTGCAACTATAGTATAGATCGGAGACTTAGTACAATAACAGCATACATCGGAGACTTAGTACAATTACAGTATACATCCAAGACTTAGTACAACAACAACTGAAGTATCCGCCGACAGACGATACTACAGTATACATCGAAGACTTAAAACAACTACAGCATACATCGGAGACTTAGTACAACTACAGTATACATCCAAGACTAAGTACAACAACAACTGAAGTATCCGCCAACAGACGATACTACAGCATACATCGGAGACTTAGTACAACTGCAGCATACACCCAAGACTTCGTACAACAACAACTGAAGTATCCGCCAACAGACGATACTACAGCATACATCGGAGACTTAGTACAACTGCAGCATACACCCAAGACTTCGTACAACAACAACTAAAGTATCCGCTGACAGACGATACTACAGCATGCATCGGAGACTTAGTACAACTACAGTATACATCGAAGACTTAGTACAACAACAACTAAAGTATCCGCCGACAGACGATACTACAGTATACATCGAAGACTCAGTACAACTACAGTATAGATCAGAGACTTAGTACAACTACAGTATACATCCGAGACTTGGTACAACTACAACTAAAGTATCCGCCGACAGACGATGAAAGGTTATTCGATATGTCTGCGCCGCAAGGGCTTGCCCTCGTACCTTATGAAATGTTCGTTTCCTGCTAGTCACGCCATACGGCGTTACGGTGCCGGGTCGACATCGCGGTTGGGAAATCCAGTAGGGGTACGCTCTTTCAACACTCTGAGGTGGAACAAGAGAACAGGTTAAAAGGAGACTACGTTTCATGTTTTGTAAGTAATTGACACATTTATCTCTGCGATTGGATAGGCCTGGACAGCTGTGAATGATATGAAGTACAATTCGGGAGGATTTGAACCAAGTCTGATGGAGGTTACCGTGTAACTGAAGTCCAGGTATAATGATGGGCGGTGTGCCATATACTCTAGTGCATTCTTCTACTTGTCAAAACTATATACTGGTTTCAACTCGGTGGCAAGTCAGAATGGTGGCTGATGTACACACACACACACAAACGAACACATAAAAATACACACACACACACACATGAACACATAAAAATACACACACACACACATATATATAAACATTTATGTAATATATATATATATTTATATACACCAACACACACACACTATACATATATACACACACCAACACACACACTATACATATTTACACACACCAACACACACACTATACATATTTACACCCACCAACACACACACTATACATAT